AAAAATAAAAATATTCCCTGACCTCAGAGGGTTTACGGTCTACTAGGGAAAAATACACAAATATGTGTGCATAGAGAAAGAAAGTGCTAACAATTTGGAGGATTAGGAAAGGCCACCCCTTAGGCAAAAGATGGCACCTGGGCTATTCTTCAAAGAAAAACATGGATTTTAAGAAGTGGAGGTGAAGAGGGGGTAAATTTTGGACAGGTGTGCAAAGGTACAGTGATAGAAGGTGAAATGCCACTGGAGGGGAGCTGACGTTTCACCAACTCCCCCTTCCAGAAAGGCCAGAAGATAATCATAAGGTGTTTTTGAGGTGTTAAACCAACAGTAAAGATACATCTATGCCCTGATTCCTTAAGGAGGCATAAGCAACCCTCCTTGAGTGAATCAGAAGGGATTATCCTGTTGGCTGTTGGAAAATAGACACCTCTTACCCCCACCCTCCAACTTTTAAATGACAATCTTTAAAAGCTACTTTAAAATCAGCTTCCTCTCTTGAGGGCCTGCCTTTCTGTATCTGCTTCTATCTGAAGCTTTTGTCTCTATTCCCTCAATTTTACTTTAAACTCTAGTGAACTGCTCAATGAGGTGTGTCCTGGGCAAGTCACTGCTAGATGCCATGACTTATGGTGAAGGAAGGATGAGCAAGAAATTCCCTCTGCATGGTTCTCCTTCTACAAAGCATTCTGATCTTAGACTCCATCAAACACAGATGGTCACCCAGGGTCATGCCCATCTTTCTGCAGTCAATAGGATTGCTCTTTTTGACTCACCCATAGTACGTGTTCATGCTTCACATTTCAGAAACAACGTGATTATATTCTGAGCTGAGGGATTGATTGAAGGTCTGCTCCCTTATATCATATACAGGAAGTAGCTAGCAGACCAGTTTGACTAAAACAGAGAACGCATCAAAGGGAGTGATCCGAAATAACAATGGAAAAATAGATGGGAGCCAGTCTGTGGAGGGCTTTGAGTGCCAAATTGATGAGACTGAATTTTATCTTAGAGCAAGGTTTCTTCCCCTGGAGTCCACAGGACCCCAGAGGTCCATGAATAGATTTCAGGAAATTGGTAAACTTGATTGGGGAAAAATTATATTTTTATTTTCCCTAACATCTAACTGAAATTTAGAATTTCCTTCCATTTAAAAAAAAAAACCATGATTGTGAGAAGGGCACTGTAGGCTTCATTAGACTTCCAAAGCGGTCTGTAATTCAAAAAGAGGTTAAAAACCCCTCTCTTAGAGAGAATAGGAAGACTTTGACATTTTTATAGAGAAGAGCAGAGGGCTGACCTGGTCAGATAAATTTTTTAAGAATATCTATTTGAGGGTGGCAGGTAGGTGGCGAAGTGAATAGAGCACCAGCCCTGAAGTCAGGAAGACCTGAGTTCAAATCCAGCCTCAGATACTTGACACTTACTAGCTGTGTGACCCTGGGCAAGTCACAACCCCAATTGCCTTGCCAAGAAAAAAAAAAAAAGAATATCTATTTGATGACAAGCAGGATGACTTCAAAAAAATCTGGGAAGACTTACACAAACAAATGCAAAGTGAAGTAAGCAGAACCAGGAGAACACTGTACACTGTAACAGCAATATTTGTATGATAATTAGCCGTGGATGACTTAGCTCTTCTCAGCAATACAATGATCCAAGACAATTCCAAAGGACTCATGATGAAAAATGCCAGCCACCTCCAGAGAAAGAACTAATGGAGTTTGAACACAGATCAAAGCATACTATTTTTCACTTTATTTTTTTCATGGTTTTCTTGCTTTTGTGGGGTGGGGTCTGTGTTTCTTTCACTACCTGATTAATATGGAAATCTGTTTTACATGACTGCACATGTATAATCTCTATCAAATTGCTTACAGTCTCAGGGAAGGAGTAGGGGAAGTAGGGAGGGAGAGAATTTGGAATTCAAAATTTTTAAAAATGAGTGTAATGGTTTTACATGTAATTTAAAATATTATTTTAAAAAAGAATATACATTTGATAGCTATGCTGAGGACATATTTAAAAGGAGAAAGACTGAATGCAAGGAAACCAATTAGCAGACTACTGCAATAATGAGGGATGATAAACTAGAGTAGAGACCATGGTAGTGGAGAGAAAAGGCCAGATGTGAAAGATATTACAGAGGAACATTGACAAGACTTGGCAACTTACCGGATATAAGGACTAAGAGAAAGGAAAACACACCATGTACAACACAGAGGTTTTGAACCTGGATGACTGGGACAGTGGTGCCATCAATAGAAATAAGGAAGATTAATGGAGGGATGGGTTTGGAGGGATATATGATTTTTGTTTTATGACATGGTATGTTTGAGATAACTGCTGGACATCTAGGTGGATGTCCAGGAAGCAGTTGGTAGTGCAGGACTGGATTAATAAGAGAGAATAGGACTGTGTACCTTATATAATAAAGTATCCCAAAAGTCTTAATACAGTTCTAAGGTTTAGTATCTTAAATAGCTTAAAACTGCACTAAGACTTTTGGGATACCCCATACATAAAGTCATATGCATAAAGATAATGACATATACTATCTATACCCCTGATATGGCTCTAATCACATGTTTCAGCATATGAACTATTGCTTTTCTTTTCATGTTTAGGTGTCTTGTTTCCCAAATTAAACTGTAGGCATTTAGAAGGCATATATTTAGACATAATTGGTTTCCTTTGTAATACTATGTATTTTATGCATTTAAAAGAATTATCTTGAAGAGTCTATAGGTTTTACCACCCTGACAAAGAGATCCATGATAGAAAAATGATTAAGAACCTCTATCTTAAAGGATTGTTGAGAGAATCAAATGAGATTCTGTAAAGTGCTTTTTAAATTTTAAAATATATGTGAATATGTAAGTGTACATACATCTAAGTATGCATGCACACATCTAGATATGCACATACATGTGCATGTATATGTAGCCACACAGTGTGGTTAGGGGCATATAGACACGTGTGTATATAAATATGTACATATGTAAACATTTATCTGTGCATGTGCACATGAATATGTGTGCTTATTATATGAATATGTACTTGTAAATATATTATATGACTGTGTGCATATATACATATATTGTCATATTTATACATTATAATACATTATACATTGTGTGCTTATCTATTGTATGTTTCATATTTATATTATATTATTTACTATAATGTATGTGTTATATTAAAGAATAAATAAATGTTTTATATATATAAATATGCATCTGTACATTACACATATATTTCAATGAGAGGTAGTATGGATACATGGTATAGTATGTAATGGGCCCAGTCTTGGAATCAGGAAAACTTGGGGTCTAGCCCTATTTCTGATACAAACTGGTTGTGTGACCCTGAGGGTCAGTTCCCCTCTCAACTGTCTAAGACTATGCAACAACCACAACAACAACAACATTGAAGGGCATAGATTTACATGCTCATTAACAGACACAGTCCCTCACTGAAATCTCCTTATGCCAATAAAATCATAGGTCTGGGTTTTTAAGTCATTATTTGGGGGGGCTTAGAAATTGTTTCAAACAAGTATAACTTGGAATCATTTCTTTTAAGCCCTCTGTTATTTTTATATTGTATACTTTGTATTCTGCACACACATCCCTAAACATCTCCCCGTTTGAAATGAAGCATAAAGTGTGTCTTGGGCATATCCCTTGTCCCTTGGTTTACAAGGTGAGGGATGATGTACCTTCTAGCCAGAGACAGAGAGATTAGGTCAGTAAATAGGTGATAATTGCTGGTTTCTTTCTTAACGGAATTCCACTTTAAAAATAGTTTGCTTTTTTTTTATTTTTTTAGGCAATTGGGGTTAAGTGACTTGCCCAGGGTCACACAGCTAGTAAGTGTCAAGTGTTTGGTCTGAGGCAGGATTTGAACTCGGGTCCCCCTGACTTCAGGGCCGGTGCTCTATCCACTGGGCCACCTAGCTTCCCCTCAAAAACAGTCTGCTTTTAAAAGGCACCCTTAGGGGCAGCTAGGTGGTGCAGTGGATAGAGCACCGGCCCTGAAGTCAGGAGTACTTGAGTTCAAATCTGGCCTCAGACCAAACACTTGACACTTACTAGCTGTGTGACTCTGGGCAAGTCACTTAACCCCAATTGCCTAAAAAATATAAAATAAAATAATACAAAAATAAAAGGTACCTTAGCTTCTACAACCCCATATATATTTCAAATAGTCTCTAGAAATAGGGCCTGCCTTCTCCAGGCTCAGCAAGAAGTGTTCTTTCCTCCTTCTTCTATCCCTATCCCCCGTCACCTCACACTTGCCCATTTTGCCTCCATTTTTACCCAAATAGGTCCAAATAGGGTGAAAGGAAAGGAATTCACAGACCTCTTCTTCATAGTAATGTCATTTTGGAGCAAATGAATGATCATTGTGCTCAGAGCAAGACACAAGCTCGGAGGTCATCTAGCATAACCTCCTCATTGTAGAGACTAGGGAACTCAAGCCCAGAGAGGTCAGTGACTTGTCCAAGGCCACACAGATAATAAATAGCAGAGATAAGACTTAAATCCAGATTCTTTGATTTAAAATCAAGTACAATTTCCTCCACACCAACGGTTCTCAACTCTTTTTGTTCCATGAATCTCTTTCAGAAAAAACAAAAAAGTTGAACTCCCAGGGTAACAACATACTACTCATAATATTCTTTTAGATTTATTCATAAAGCACTTATAATAACTATACTCAATAACTTTACTCAGAAAAGTTCTAAATCAAAATTTACATTATATAATTATAATTACAAAATATAAAAGTTTATTCTACCCATGATTATTAAAAAAAAATCAACATACAAAATTACAAAATAAGTATATTGCATTCATTCTCTAAGAACTAAAAGAAATAATCCAGCAAGACCTCAGATGCTTACTATTATAACCTCTGCTTGGAGACCTCCAATATGGAGGCACCTACCACTTTCCACGGCAGTCCACCCCACTTCTAAACAGTCCTGACTGTTGGGAAGGTTTGTTTGTTTTTGTTTTTCTGAAGGCAAGACCATATTTGCTTCTTTGCAACTTTCAACCGTCATTCTTGGTTCTGCCCTATAGAAACAAACAGAGTAAGTATGATGCTTTGGCCATATTATAGGCTGTCAAATACTCGAATACGATTATCGTATCTCCTCTGAATCTTCTCTTCTCCATGATAAATATCCCCAGTTCCTTCAACTGATCCACATATGACTCACCACCCTTTGCCATCTTGGTCAACCTCCTCTACATAATATCCACTTTATCTACATCCTTCCTAAACCATGGTACCCAGAACTGAACATGATAATTCTAAACTTGGTCTGACCAAGGCAGAATTCAGTCAGTCTATCACTTCCATATTACTGGAAATTCTACCTCTCAATGCAGTCCAGGATCGCATCAGATTTTTTTGGTTACCACAATATACTACTTACTTATGTTGTACTTTTAGCCCACTAAAACCCTCAGATCTTTTTTCTTTTTTAATGAAAAAAAATAGAGTAGTCAAATTGGTGACAGACTGACACTGAAGGCAAAGGTGTAAGATGTACCCCCATTGTGAGCCTGGGGGAACAGGATCATGGCACAGACATAAAGAGTTAAGGATTCTAGGAAATGACATCAGTTTTCAAGAGTAGCCCCTGGGCTCAATCCAACAGGCTGAATCTGAGGTAACTGCAGAATATCCAAGTGGAGACACCTTGTAGGCAGCAAGAGATATTGGGGCAGAGATGCAGTGAGGGCTGAGGGCAGAAGCTCCAAATTCAGACATGATGAGATACCCAATTTGGTCACATTACAGGTGGAGAGAGGGGTGTCTCAAGGCCTTGTATTTGAAGGGTATTCCAAACAGTAGCTCTCTGAGCAGGCCCTTGGTGACCTCCTAATCAGCCTTCTCCCTGACGAAGTGCCAGTTAAGCATGAAGAAAGGAAGGAAGGTTGAAGTTCACCAGGTTTTTGTTTAAAAGGTTATTTTTAACGGTTGACCTTTTAAAATAAATCTCTCTGAGATTTCTATCATGGCTGTGTTTCTTAAAAAACACATCCATGCTGAGGGGCAGACCTTCTATTGCACAGATACATAATCCTTCAGTGATATTTTTCTTGATCTTTCAGTTAAGCCTCCAGTGCTCCCTTGAAATGCCTATTGTTTCCTTGTCTTTCTCTCCCTGTGGACTTATTGACTCATTATGTCCGATTTCCTCAATAGATGGCATTGTCTTCAACCACCGCCAGCACGGATTTTTTATTAACAATGCATAGTACTCATTTAAACCTTCCCAGTTCCCTACAGAATGTAACACAATCTCCAGCAGAGGCCAGAGGAAGGTTTGGAGTATGGGTGTTTTTTTTTTCTTTCTCTCTATGCACATGCAGAAATCACATTGGCAGTGCTGACAGGCAGGGCTCTCCATCCCGGAACTTGGCCCGGAACTTGGCAGAATTAAGTTCTGGCACCTTTTCGAGACTTTTCTTGGCACTTCTCCCTCACTCCTCCCTCCAAGTTGGAGACTTTTCCAGATGTGCTCCTTGACATCCTTTCCCCTTCCTCCACCACTTCTCTCCCCTACCATCTTCTCACTGCTTAATATAAATTCCCCATTCAGACTCTCCAAGCCTAAAAACAGCGTCTTGCCACACTCTACACCCAATTTTGCTTGGATCAATTGACTATATCCCAGTCCTTTCACTGATAAATGTTCCTTACTACATCCACTAACACATTGCTCAGGTTTTCACTTTTGCACTGTAAGTCATGATGAAGAAGTATTCAAGCAACAAGTACTCATTGAGGACACATTATATTATATATATATTATATATATATATATATTTTTTAATTTAAGCTAGGCAATGGGTTTAAGTGACTTGCCCAGGGTCACAGAGCTAGTAAGTGTTATGTGTCTGAGGCCGGATTTGAACTCAGGTCCTCCTGAATCCAAGGGCGGCTCTCTATCCACTGCCACCTAGCTGCCCCCTTGAGGACCCATTATAAGCCAAATATCCTCCAGGAAATGACCTTGTTTCAGAGATTATCCAAAGTAAATCAAAGTTCAAGTGCCCCCCTTTTTCCTACAGCATTGATGTTTTATGTTCTAGAAACAGAAAAGCAAGCTTTTTTCCATATTGCTCCAGAAGTATTATAATGTAATAGAGGCAGAAGACCCCTAGAAACCATACAAGTTGAGAACTATAGCATGTCTTGCAAAAGTAAGAGATTATGGCTATTGGGGTTGGGGGGAAGGGAGGAGAATTGTGGCCTCAACTTTTCCTATGCTATGAACAGCAACTTTGAAGGATAGAAAGAATGGGGGGTGGGGGTATGGTGGTAGGGATCAAAGGATCTAGAACTGGAAAGGATTGTAGAGATATCTAGTCAAATCCCTTCATTTTACAGATAAGGAACCTAAAGCTCAGAGAAATTAAATGATTTGCTCCAAGTCACGTTAATGGTAGAATTGATATTTGAACTCATGGTTTAGAACTAATCCTAATTACAGTTACACCCATTTCTACTACATCATGCTGCCTCTTCTCATTTCCTCTGTTCTCCAGATAAGCTATGCAAATCAGTATATGGGCTGCCATCCTTATGACTACAAAAAGGCATCGTGTCACTAAATTAATTATCCAGCAAGAGAGTAAAATCTGAGTCATATATTAGGCAGTGGAATCCTTGAGCCAGCAGCATGGTACCCACTTCAGTTCCTGGCATACGGAAGACATAAAAGGCTTCAGTGTCCCTTATAGCCACAAGAGGGCACCCAACCTGCAGATGCCTTCAGCACTACTCCCATAGATAAATCTACACTGCAGCCACTCATTCACTCACCAAGAATTTATTGGGCACTTACTGTGTGCCAGGCACTCTGTTAAGCACTTGAAATACAAAGAAAGGCAAACATAGGTTCTCTGACCTCAAGGAACTCACATTCTAATAGGGAAGACAACTAACAGTTTATCTACATTTATGTGTACATACACATATCTACATACGTAGAATACATATAGCACTCTCAAAGGGAAGGCACTAGCAATGGGGGTGTGGGAAGGACTAGGAAAAATCTCTTGCTACAGCAACCTGTGCTAAACAACCCAAACTCCCTGAGCATCTCCCCCCGAGCACTACCACTACCACTACCACTGGTTGGTTCCAGAGTTATCGAGAGCAGCAGCATCAAACTCAAATAAACCATACATAAGGGTCTCTGTGGGCTATATAGTGATTTAGTTTTAAAATGTGATGTTATCTATGTTTTATTGTATTTTTATTTATTTTGTTAAATATTTCCCAATTGCATTTTAATATGGTTCTGGCTCTACTCAGTGTTCCTGGTGGCATTCAGGCACCCCCCCCCGTCACATATTTGACACCTCTCATCTGGAACGTTCAGTGGAACATTGCTCAAAATATTAATTACTATATTATTAAAAATTAGCAAATCTATGGCCTGTGGCAACGCTAGAGAGCCCACCCCATATCTGTGCTCTCCTCTCTTAGGTAACTGTCCTTCACATTTACAGGACTAAGATACTGAATGAATGAATGAACAAATGAATGAATCAGTGAAAGAAAGCATTTATTAATTGCTTACCATGTGCCAAGCACTATGCTTAAAGTTCTAAGGATAGAAATAGAAAAGTAAAACAATCTCTACTCTCAAGGAGATCATAGTCTAATTGGGGTAGGCAACACATAAAAGAAAGTTGAGGTGCAAGAAATTCTAAGGGATCAGAAGCAAGGGAAGATGAAAAGGCTCAGTGGTTTTAGGTTACATCAGTAGGTTAGATAACAGTTCTGGGGACCTTTCTTTAGAAAGAAGTGGCAGGGCAGGTGACAAGGCTTAGTGCTTCTCCATCTCACTGAAAGAGTTGTTGACTCCCATCTCATCCAAGCTTTGTGAGCTGTCAAGCAGCACAGATGGGTTCTGGGTGCTAGCCTGGGAAGGGAGTATGGGGGGACAACACAGATGTAAGGTGTCCCCCATTCATGGCATTCTTCCTGCCACCTGGCTGACCCAGTTGGGTATATAGTTTATTTATTATTAAAAATAAAATGAATTAAGTCAAGCACTCCTGTGGGGAACTATTCCCCTTCACCATCTCCCACAGTTCCTCACACTTATCTTTCCCTCTATATCTTCAGGTATGGTTGAGAAAATTCCCCAGCTACATGTACCCATTGCTCTTGGGAAAGGAATAATGGAACAGTTGTGTGTTTTTGTCTGGAACCCCAGCTTTAGCTCAGCGGCTACAACAAGGAAAAACAGGGGAAGAGGGGTGGGAGAAATCAGTCTTTCCTTCCTTGCTCATTACCTAATGGGATGGATCTTCAACAGCTGTCAGTCTTCATTTTCAGTCCCTCCTTTCACTCTGTTTCTGCTCTAAGATCTGGTCACCTCTGCAGGCCTCTAACATTCTTGTTCACCATCCATTCAAGTCAGGATTCAAGTCAACAACAGTGGCTGTCTCTTCCTTTCTGGTCCACCTCAGGTAGAATTCAATGGCAGCTGCTACTTGTAGACACCTATATGGGCAAGCACAGCTTCCCTAATAGTCACCTGCATCAAGGTCGGTAACAATCAAAGTAGTAACAATCACAACCGTCACCTGCATCAAGGTCAAAAAGTCTTGGTCTCGGGCAGTGACAGATAGGAGAGTAACCAGTCCTATACTATATACAGATCCAGCATTCCCTCTATCGTATCTCACAGTTTCCTGTATACACTCCCCAAGACTCTGGGTAATAAAGAAGGTACAATCTCACCTATGCACCAGAATCACCAGGAACTTCTTTGTCAATCTCTCTCCCCAAGCCATCATCATCACTCTAGGCCTAAAAGAAAAATAATTAAGACAAATTAAGACAGAGAAGACACAATGTGGGCATGATTCGTAATATAAACACTTTAGATCAATTCTATGGGTTAGGCAAGACACAGAACAAATATGTTTTTGATTGTTATTCATTGGTTAATTTGTTTGATTTTACTTCGGCAAAGGAAAGGTTACATTACACACACAGCCCACCATCACCACCAACTAATCATAGAAGACCATGGCCCTTGGATTGAATCATTTTTCAATTAAAAATATAAAGGAGGTGTAAACAAGCCCTTAACCAATTTGAAAGGGCTATAGTGCTTTCATAACTGGATGAAGGCAAAATTACTAAGTATCACAGAGGAAATCTTGTGGTTAGATGAAAGAATCCAACATATTTCTAGGCCTCTGTTTAAAAAAAAAAAGAAAGAAAGAAAGACAGTCAGGGCAGGTAGGTGGTGCAATGGACAGAGCACTGGCCCTGAAGTCAGTAGGACAAGAGTTCAAATCCGGTCTCAGACCAAACACTTGACACTTACTAGCTGTGTGACCCTGGGCAAGTCACTTAGCCCCAATTGCCTAAAAATTGAAAATAAAAAGTACCATGATAAAGCTCCAATTTGGAAGCTTGAAGTTGAAGACAAGCCCCTGAGAGAGACTCATGGAGGGGAGATGCAAAGTTTCTTCTTCCCCTACCTACTACCACCAAGTGATGTCATCCAAGAGATTATCCCAATAGGACATAATGCATCCAGATAGGACAAAGAGACACCCTGAGGACCAAAAGAGAGAGAGAAAGAAAGAAAACCACTCAAGAGAGGAAGCAACTTGGAGGAGTAGGACCCCTTGCACCAGAGAAGAATACCAGCTCTGGATTCAGGAAAAGACTTCTAGTAACCAGAAGTTATGAGCTAACTCTTTGGCCACCTGCGTTCTCTTACAGGTGTGTTTTGCTACCGTTGTACCCTAAATTGGCCTGCTCTCCTTAGGGACCTCATTTGTGTGAGGGAAATATGTGCCTCTGGTATGTGGGGAATGTTTTATGCTACCAATTAGTTTTTGTCTCTTTTGCTTTGAGACTGGGTCTTCCTATCTCACCCATGGAAGCTTTGACCTGTTCTATTACTGATCTGGACCAATTCATTCTTTATTAGGCAGCCTGGTGGCTCCCAATCCCAAAAGCTCACCCTATGAGTGCCAGACTTTGTAAGGACCCTCAACTATCTTTTAGCCCTCCTATAGCTCGGAACTCCTGAACTCAAGGGATCTACCATCCTTAGCCTCCTCTAGTAGTAAAGATTGCAAGTATGCACTACAGTCCCTGGTACCAACTATTCTTATTATACAGTCTTTTTTGGTTTTGTTTAGTTTTGGTTTGGTTTTTGGTGAGTCAATCAGGGTTAAGTGACTTGCCCAGGGTCACACAGCTAGTAAGTATCAAGTGTTTGAGACTATACAGTCTTAATAAATATGTTGGCAGAAAGTGAATCAAAGCTATTGGTTAATAACAATGAGCAGCATGACTGGAAACCCAGGTTCCCAGAGTTACCCCCAAGACCCTGAAAGTAAATAGCAGTCATTCTTTGGAGACCCAGGCCCACCAATTCAAATAAGAATTAGGGAAGTAGCCCCAGAATATGTGCTATGCTTTGTCATAATGTTTTGTTGTTGTTCAGTCATATAAGACTCTCCATGATTCCATTTAGGGTTTTCTTAGCAAAGATACTGGTGTAATTTGCCATTTCCTTCTCCAGCTCATTTTACAGAAGAGGAAACTGAGGCAAACAGGGTTAAGTGACTTGCCCAGGGTCACACGGCTAGTAAGTGTCTGAGGCCAGACTTGAACTCAGGAAGATGAGTCTTCCTGACTCCAGGACCAGCACTCTATCCACTGTGCCACCTAGCTGCTCCTTGTCAAAATACATCAAACCAATCAATATTAAATGTCTACTATATGCCGAGAACTATTAAGCATTGAAGATACAAAGACAAAAGTGAAACAGACTATATTCTACTGGGGAGAGGGAAGGAATACATACTCATAGATCAACAAATAAAGGATATGTTAACAATGAATACCAAGTGACTTCAAAGAGAGAGACGAAAAGGAGAGGAAGGCAAGACAAACAGAGGAATCAGGAAAGGCCTCTTAAAAGACGTAGCAATGGAACTGAGCATTGACAGAAGCTAGGAGTTCCAAGACACAGGAGAAGGAAAAGTGTTGCAGACATGGAGAACAGCCAGGCCAAAAGTATGGCAGTGGGAAAGACAGAATGTCATATAAAGGAAAAAGCAAATAGACCAATTAAGCTGGATTGTAGAGAAGTATAATGAAGACGCAGAAGATGGAGAAGTGCTAAGTCAAGGAGGGAAGTATCCACAGTTTCAAACTCTCTAGAGAAGCTGAGAAGGATCACTATAGAGAAGTGAGAAAGGGTCGTCACATTTAGAGATTATTGGTAACATTGGAGAGAGCAATTTCAGTCAAGTGATAAGGACAGAAACCATATTGCAAGAGGCTGAAAGTACATAGGGGGTGAAAAAAGTGGAGGCAAGAATATGGATAGCTTTTTCTAAAAGTTTAGCTGTGAAGAGGAGAGATGTAAGGTACCCTTGAAGAAAGCTTAAAGGAATGATAGGGCCAAGTAAAGACTTTTTTAAGGATGGAGGAAATCAAACTGATAGACTCTGAGCGCAGATTGAAGCATATTTTTTTTCTTTATTTTTCTTGCTTTTTTTGCAACATATCTAATGTGGAAATATTTTAAATGATTTCATATGTATAATGGGTATCCTATTTCTTGCCTTCTCAATGGGAAGGGGTGTGACAGAAGGAGGGAGAGAATTCGGAACTGAAAATAGAAAAGTTTAAATAAAAAAAAGAATACAGGAAATCTGGGGTATGTTTGGAGGAAGCAGGGAAGGAGCCAGTGAATAAGGAAAAAGTGAAAAATTAGGGAGACAATACCCCAGAGAGGTCACTGATCAGAAGAAAGTCGTCCATATACTCCAAAATCTTTATAACAGCAGTTTTGTGGTAGCAAAGAACTGGAAGCAAAATAGATGGCCATCAATTAAGGAATAGCTAAACAAATTGTGATACAAGAATGCAATGGAAAATTACTATACTGTTAGAAGCAACAAAGAGGATAAATATAGAGAAGCATGGAAAGTCTTACATGAACTGATGTAGAGTGAAGTAAGCAGAACCAAAACAAACAAACACTATGCACAATGACTACAAAGATAAAAAGAAAAAAATCATAAAGCAAATTAAAGTGAATGGTAGGGGCAGCTAGGTGGTACATTGGATAGAGCACCAGCCCTGGAGTCAGGAGGACCTGAGTTCAAATCCAGCCTTAGACACTTGACATTTACTAGCTGTGTGACCCTGGGCAAGCCACTTAACCTCGAATACCTTGCCCCCCCCCAAAAAAAAGTGAATATTGCAAAATTACAAAAAACAAGCATGGCCCTAAAGAAAAGATATCAAAAGATCCCTCCCTACTAATCCTTCAGAGAGGTGGGAGGTCTTCAGGTGTGAAATATTGCATGTATTTTCAGACTTTTTCGATGTAATGGTAGATTTTACTGATTTTTTTTTCTCTTCCAGGGCCTTCCCTCTCCTTATTATCTCCAATTTGTCCCGTATATATTGCGTTTCTTTGCATGTTATTTACATGTTGTCTTACCCCCAGACTGTGAGCATCTTGAATTCATGGACTGTTTTTTGCCCTCCTTTGTATCCCCAGCACTTAGTACAGTACCTGGCACATAACAGGCACTTAATAAATGTTTATTGACCAACTGATTCTTCTTCTTTTTCTTTCTTTTTTTTTCCTTTAAAAATATTCCTTGGTATGTAGGATAGTTCTCAGGGTGGGAGTGAGGAAAAAGAGGAGTAAAACAGAGAGAAATGTAGGCAATGTATAAATAGAAACTATCAATAAAAATTTATTTAAAAAAAAGGAAAGAAAAGAAAAATTTGGGGAAGAGGATGATGGAAGAAGTAAGCTACCGGAGGTTTTGGGAGAAGAATGAGAATAAGCCCCAAAAGTAAGGGGCTGGCATTGGCCAGGGAGGCTTCATTTTATCATCTGAGACTGGAGCAAAAGAGGAGAGGATTGGAGACAATCTGGAAGTGATCTGAAATACGGAATCGGGGAGAAGAGGATACTAATGACGGACAAATGGCCTACTTGTGAGGACAGGTCTTCTGCTAAGGGGTCAGGAAGTGAGTAGTATAAGGGTTTGAGAAGAGAAAGTTAAGAGCAGATGCTGTGGGTAATTACCGAGACAACAAAAGAATGGGGGTGTAGAAGTATATTAGGACCTATTCTATCTAGCCCCTGGCAATGGCCTATTGGGCCATCTCATAGCTGTAAAACAATACGATACATCAAGTACTGAAGAAAAGGTCTTAGGTGAGTGTTAATGAATGTTACTAGCATGCTTTATAAGTTGGAGACTGGCTCTAGTAAATTAAGAGGTAAATCAGTAATTCAGGCCACCACGTAGGGCATCTTTGGGCTTGGTTTGCAATGAGGTCTGTTGTAAACTAATGACCACCTATATAAGGGATGAGCTTCTGGGCTTTGGGAATTTTTCCAGAGTCCAACCAAGGCCATGAAAAGCAGACTCCTATCTCTAGGAGAACAGGCCCAAAGACTATAAAGGCGATGAGTCAGACTCTCTTCTGAATTCCTTTTCTCCTCCTACTTCACAATGTCAACCAATAACAATACTAAAAGATCCCTAAATGCAGATGTGGCACTGGTGATAACAGATAACACCTTGCCTCTCTCACCAATCACTGACATACAGCCCCTGGGAAGAGAAAAAAAAACCAAATGAAATAACTTTAACACATAGCCCAGGTGGCATCTTTCTTTTCTTTTCTTTTTTCTCTTTAGAAATGAAGTCTTAAGGGGCAGATAGGTGGAGCACAGGATAGAGTGCCGGCCCTGAAGTCAGGAGGACCTGAGTTCAAATCCAGCCTCAGACCAAACACT